AAGCAGACAGGGAAAGTGTGCAAATTGGACAATGATGAGCAAAATGAAAGGTGTTAGTCATTTTCTAATTCAAAAATAATAGTTTTTCAACTGTTCTTGGTTTTTATGGGGTTAAGTTGTTGTGACGATCCCCTACTGTCCAGTAGGTGTCGCCATTTCACTGTTTGATTTTTGTTCTTTTCAGGAAGAAGGTAGAAGGGCTGCTAATTGAAGGCACCTGATGGCTGTTAAATACTGACATCCAGTCAGTCACTGGCTCTGCTTGATTTGGCCTCCAGACCAGACTGGAACAGGCAGCATTGATCCACACTCCTCTTTGACTGACTGAGCAGCTCTACAGTGGTATAATTGGGAGAAAATAAATTATTGTTTTTTTTGAATCCGCTCGTCTGTCTCCCATTTTTGTCGGTTCCTATGAGTGAGGCGTGACATTATGTGTTCAACCAATCTCTTGGCTAAACCAACTAATATAATTTGGCAGTGTTTTTACCCAATCTATATTTGTACAGGGGCAAAACAATATAAATTTCTCACATTAGCCAAAATACTTGTAAATTATTATCGCAATTTCCAAAAATCTAGGGTGGGTCTTGAGCTAACAACCTCAGAAATGGAAGTCAGTGACAATGGTAGCTGCACATTGGTAGGCAACACTACTTAATATTAATGTTACAACTGTGATCAGTGGCTTGCTCAGATTTTGATCATTACAGTGTTTAATCTACCCAAAAATATTTTTAACCAACTAAATAGCTTGTTTTTCCAACCAATCTATTCCTAGAATATATCCAAACTCTATCCAACTGATCGCAACTCTCCTACAAACTCCCACATCTTTACTGAATACTCAGGCTGTTTAGATAGATGCCTGTCATTCCGGGTGAGCTTAGCAGACACATGGTATGGCAGGTTAGCAAGGCTTTGGACGTCATCTATTTTGGCTCCTCCCCCAAATGAATCATGCGTCGATATACAACTTGTGGAAATGCCCCCTCCATTATTCGACACACACCTCAAAGCCTCGGCTCACCTCATACGATTACTACATTTTCTTCTGTTGCCCTTTGATTATTATTAGACCTGCAAGAAACCACTTCTGCTTCCATCTCTGAATTTGGCTACTCTTCAAACCTCCACTCAACTTGACATATACAATGCAACAAGAGTTTTAAAGTATAACTTAATTTAACAAAACTCATAGGAGTTTGATTTTGTCTTTTTCTTAACAAGATGTTTTGACTCCTTTCGAGCTTTCCTACCAGTTACAGGGAATGAATGTAGTTTAAATTCTAGAATTTCAACCAGCATTGCCTTTTTATTTTAAAAATAAAACCACTTTAGAAAGTTGAAAATTAAAAAAAATGGAATAAACTTTGCGAATTTTAGCTTAGCAACCTTTTTTTACATTGTTATTTTACCCCCAAAACAAAGAAAATTGGACAATATCTAAGAAAATTTGCTAAGATCTAAGTTGCACCTGTTTTGCAGTGTAGTATACAAGTGTGCATGTTTTCTCTTTGTGACAGATAAAAAGAATAAAGCAGTTTGTAAATGTCCGAAAGCCTTAATTGTTGAATTCAGCTTTAATACAGACAGCATGCTTCAAATAAATGTACCTAAACTTTCAAGATTTTTTTTTATTCACTGAATCTAGTTAATTTAGGTTTTATTAAACAATGTGCAATAAAAATCCTCTACATTATAGCTTGACCTCTACGTATCAAACCATCTGGGCTGAAATAAACAGCAGACCTTGGTATTCAGAACCAATTCGTGTTAGTCAGGTTTTAGCAGAGATTCAGATAAAGAAGCCAGAAATGTAACTTTATCTTTTGTATCTAGAAAGCCTTAGATAAATGAATCTCTCATGGCTGTCATGGCTACAAGAGATCAAACTAAACAAACAAAGAATATTAACTCGTTTTCTTTTGCAGCAGTTTTGTGGTTATGTCGAATACCCGTTTTCTTGTCATAATATTGACTTAAAACACTTTACACTTGAGCAACATTCAACCAGTCAGATTCGTGTTCTTACGTAAATCTGACAGATTGGATTCCACCATACACAGACTGGATTAGAAGCT